AAAAAAAAAAAAAAAAAAAAAAAAAAAAAAAAAAAAAAAAAAAAAAAAAAAAAGCAATCTTTGTCTCATGAATCAACACCATATCAAGTCAGTGACGTTGAATGAGTTTTTCAATGTTGTTCTTTTAGAACGATCCCCAAGGTCTCTAGTATTCCACGAGATAACTTTCACTGCTCAAGCTAAAAATAGTAACTCAAGTAAATTTATCTGAGAACCAATTGGTAGCGCCTGAGGATTACGAATTTGAAGACCATAGACGTTAATCAAAGAAGAGAATTTGCTTGGAATTGCTGGTGAAGGAGAAGAAATACATACTGGAAGAGATGCAGAAGCATTTGATTTTATTGAAAAATCAATAAATCCCTAGGAATCAAGGCTTCAAATAACATATGAGATGATTGTCATTCAATTGTGGAAGGAAACAGAGAGCTATCTATCCAGAAGTTAAAATAAGCTTGGCAAAAGCAGTAGGTAAACAAAGGAAAAATTATTATCTTACCATTCTGGACGCACGCATTTCCATCATGAAAGATTCCTGTGAATTCCTAACAGGTGGATCGTTCACCTAAGGAAACGTGAACGCTAAGTTTGAATTATGGATTCCAAACATGGGATCGTTCAATCAAGAACAGGAAAACAACCAACCAAAAGAGAATTACATGACAAATTTCCCATTCCAAGTCGTAGAAGAAGAATTGAGTTGAGAAAACAATGAAGCAAAAGCAAGTAATAAAATTAAAGACAAAAAAGAAAAGGAAAGAGGAGCGTTACCCTAGAGACGTTGACAAGATGGGTGAAATTGTCGACAATGTTGGCTATATCGGTTTCGACTCTCTGAAGAAGCAGTTTCTGTTTCTGAGCTGCCGCCGCAGCAGCCGCTGCGGTGGGACCAGTTCCACCACCAATGCCTTTGTTCATAATAATAAAAATGGAAATGGCAATTGAATCAGCTCTGCAATGGCGGCAAGGTAATTGAAAAGAGAGAGAAGTAGAAATGTCGGGGAAGAAGAAGCACCATTGAAGCTATTGAAACCCTAGGGAGGCTTTGAAATCGAATAATGGAGATGGGCTTGACAATGGGCTCTTAATGGGCTCTTACAGAAACTTAGTCCACAAAAATATCAACAACAATTCACTAATAGATCTAATATTTGTAAAACAAGAAATTTAAATTTATTTAAAAAGAGATAAATATTTTTTTTTTATTGATTAATTAAAAATTTACTTTGGAGCTAAGTTCATAAGGTCTCATGTTAGCTCAATTTAACACTCCGTTTGGATTAATATTTCAAAGAAAAATATGTTTATTATATTTGATACCTTAACTATTAAAACATAAAATATATATTTAATTAATTTAAATACTATAATATATATATATATATATATATATAATACATTATTTTAAGTGTATAAGATATTTTCTCACAATTTCTATAAATAGGAACCTAGACACGGGACACCCTTTGATAGATGAAACAAGGGAAAGACTATTTTTTCTCGGATCCTGGATCTAGTCCATGAAAGACCTCTCTCCCTACCTCTCCTCTGCTTCTCCTGTTTCCGCTTACGTCCACGTGCTAAAGTATTGTAGCCGAAGTCATAGTAAGGAAAAAGTTTCATACCAATAGAACATAACAAGCAATAGAAATCAAACAAACATCAATGTGTTGTGATGTGTGCATGAATAGTTGATTCCCTTCAGTTGCACAATCAGTCTCATGTGTGGTGTGACAGTAGAGTGACTCCTTCCTAGCTACCTATAAGAAACAATAGTAACGAGAAACTTTTAACTCTAGCCCTAATTGTATTCAAACTAAAAGTAAAATCGGAGAAATCGGGGAAGTTAGCCTTACATATGGCTAAATTCTTGGTGGCTTTGTCCAAGCTAAAAACAACATTTAGATGATAGTGAAAATTGGTTTAAATTGGAAAGGCATTACGAGCATGGATGCTAATTGAATGATTCATGCAAATCTAAAGACAAGAAAGTTATAGGAACAAGTTCACGGCTTGAAACAAGCTCATGATCAATTGAAAAGTTGTAACTCTCTTGACTATCAATATAATAACGGAAATATCTCTAGATTCGATCATTAATCCTCTATTTAGTTGTCATTTTAGAACAACATACAGAGTACACTCTCCATCTACATCGAAGTCTTTGGCTAAGACGCCTTATTTCATATCATCGCATCATACTCCACCAATCATTGCTTCCTCATAAGAAACTTCTTATTGCTTCTCTATTCTCTCACAGTCAATACCTTCATGTATGTCGATAGCTACATGATGTGAGTGGCAATTACAATTGGGTTCACCAACTTTCTTTGAACAATTCCCATTGTTTGAATGATTGTGATGAAATTTATCCCCACAATCTCCATTGTGATCTTGAGGAAGCTGAAGATTATGATCCTTTTTCTCACAACAATGCTTATGGACATGATTTTCTCGACTAGGCGATTTATCATCAACGACATGACATCGATGACTATGGTGATGATGATCGTGATGATGATGATGATGAGAGGGTCGAGTGTTACTACCATCACATCGTCCATGTTTCATCGAGCATAGCTTGGAAGATTTGCAACATTTGTTCCCATGCTTATGATCACTTCCTCTCAAGAGAAGCATGCTGTTCAAGATGACCAATAGGCAGGTACCGACATCGGCGAGAACGGCCGCCCAAACGAGCGGATGTCCGGCGATGGCCAAGCCAAGGATTGCAATCTTGGTAGTGATTGACAAAATGACATTTTGAACAACTTTTGCATGAGATTTCCTAGCTAGTTTGATGGCTTGTGGGATTTTTGTGATGTCATTTGACATTAAGATGACATTCCCAGTTTGAGTAGCGAGAGGTGAACCAGAAATGCCCATTGATATGCCAATATCAGCTATGGCTAATGCTGGGGTATCATTTAAGCCATCGCCAACCATGGCGGTTGCTCCATAATCCCTTTTGAATTCTTTTATCATATTTGCTTTCTCCTTTGGAAGAAGCTCTGAATGGATTACATCAACCGCGTTCTCCAGCTGCAAACCACTCATCCTTATGAACGTTGAATGATTCAAATTTCACTTAACAAAAATATGAACAAAAAAAACCTGTTGTTGGGCGTGCATGGCGGCTGCACTACAGTCCCCAGTGAGCATAGCTGTTTTAATGCCAAGACTCTTGAGCTGCTCCATGGCTTCTTTAGCTCCTGACCGACAAGAATCCGAAAGACCAAAGGCTCCAACAGCCATCTCCCCACAAAATACATATCCAAGGGTTTGGCCTTGTTTCATTTCCTCGTCTAACTTCATAGCTGAAGAAATTAAGTTTATATTAAGTTTTTTTTGGGAAGCCTAAAGCAAAGCCTAAAGCAAAGTCAAGAGAGCTTATGTCCAAAAGTATCCTACTATTATGGAAGGTTGTGAATTCTCAGAGCTATGTCCTTAACTTAGCCATGTCAATAGAATCCTCAAGTGTCGAACAAATAAGTTGCTAGCCTCGAAGGTGTAATCAAAAGTGACTCAAGTGTCAAACAAAGGGTGTACTTTGTTCGAGGACTCCAGAGAAAGAGTCGAGCATCGATTAAGGGGAGGTTGTTCAAGGGCTCCAGAGGAGACTCTATAGTATACTTTTTTGGGAAGGAGTTCCACGTTGACTAATTTAGGAAATGATCATAAATTTATAAGTGAGGAATACATCTCCATTGGTATGAAGTCTTTTAAGGAAACCCTGAACAAAGTCATGAGAGCATATGCTCAAAGTGAACAACATCACACCATTGTGGAGGGTCGTGATTACAGACATGGTATTAGAGCTATGCCCTACTTAGTCATGTCAATAAAATCCTCAAGTGTCGAAAAATGGTGTACTTTGTTTGAGGACTCTAGAGAAGGAGTCGAGCCTCAATTAAGGGGAGGCTGTTCTAGGCCTCTATAGGCCTTAGGGGAGACTTTATAGTGTACTTTTTTCGATGGGAGTATAAGTTCAAAGTAGACAATATCATACTATTGTGAAGGGTCGTGATTCGTAACTGAAAACATGCTTGGTGATAAAAGAAGGTTTGATCATAAACCTGACGAGCAGCCAGCTCGGGCAGCAATTTTTGTACTTCCAATGTAAATATCCTTCCCATCAATCTTCCCACGAACACCTTCTCCTGGAAAGTTCTCAAATTCCTCAACTTTTTCAGGTTTAATATCAATAGAAAGCAGCTTTGCATGGTTGACAAGGGCAGCTGCCATTGGATGGCTTGATTTGCTCTCAATGCTTGAAACCCTTATTTAAACATAAACACTTCAATCAATAAAATGAAAATTTCAATGTATTAGGGAATTGGGTGACACGTTTTTTGTGCAATTACCAATGAAGTAAGGTGTGGAAGCTGATATCATCTCGTAGAGCTTGAAAATTTGTTACAACAAATTCACCTCTGGTGATTGTGCCAGTCTTGTCGAAGGCTACAACCTTAATCTTTGCAAGAACTTCAAGGTGGTCGCTGCCTTTGATGAGAACACCGGCCATGGCGGCCTTCGTGAGGGCGCAGAAGGCGGCGACCGGGGTGGAGAGGATAAGGGCACAGGGACATGCACTCACCAAGACCACCAGAGCTAAGTGAAACCAATGGCTGAGATTGTGAACTCTGAATGCAGCTGGAATGGCTGCTACACAAGCTGATATGACAACGACAGCTGCATACAAAAACATGCTGTGTTTTTGAGCTTGAATTCCAAAGTGATGGTTTTGGGATAAGATGTGTAAGGGGTACCTGGAGTGTAATATTTGGCACATTCATCAATGAATCTCTGAGTTTTTGATTTGTTGTTTTGAGCTTCTTCGACAAACTCAGCCATTTTTGCGACCACGCAGTCTTCAGCAACAACAGTGGTTTGAACACTAATATAACCTACAAAAGAATCAATGGATGACCTAAAAGAGAAGGAATATCGTTCAAAATTGTAACCGAAAGTAGAGACGTAAAGGAGATATAATACCATTTAAGTTGATGGTACCAGCCCAAACGAGAGAATCTTTAAGTTTGGGAACTGGGAAAGTTTCTCCAGTCAAAGTTTTCTCATCAACATCACATTTTCCATCCACAACAATGCCATCAATGGGAATAACTTCACCACCCTTCACTGCCAACACACTCTTCAATTCCACCTCTTTTACCGCCACAACCTCTCCAGTTTCAGCTATGATGGCCTTTTGAGGGGCCAGGCTCATGAGCGAGGACATTGCAGCATTGGCCTAATTCAATTCAACTTTTTCATTAACACAATTCACTTTAAACTAAACCCATTTTGAATTCATAATCATTGTTTTGCTAACCTTGTGGCTTGCTCTTGACTCCAGCCATTCAGCAATGGAAAACAAAAACACTATGCTCCCAGCTTCCATGTAGTCATTCATACTAATTGTCCCCACCACTACCGTAATACAACAAAGTTCATACACATATCAAACATAAACTCGACTTTTCGATCTTAATTTTGACGAACGCCCAAGAACGAAACTTTACCAGCAACAATGGCAAGAATGTTGGCATCGATCCTGAGATGGCGAACGGCGGAAATGGCTTTTAGGAGAATGGGAAAGATGCCCGCGGCGACCGCAGCGATGGCCAGCCACCGCAATGGGTGGTAGACATACTTCAAAAAGGATGCTGTTAGAAGCAACCCACTGGCTATTGCAAAAGGACTTGGCCATTTCTTCTTGCTAATTCCCTTTCCATTTACTTGTACATTTGCCTCCAATCTTGCTTCATTTAGTGCTTTCACTATCAAGTTCGATAACAAACGATCTCGATCAGTGATATAAGTCTATCGTTGATAGGTTTCGATCGGACTTTTTAAACATTTTTTATGTTAGAGATTTCTATGAAATAAATTAAAAAGTTAAACTTAAATGAATTATTTAATAAACCAATTTGAAGAGAGTTCAACTTATTAAAATATATATTATCAAAGGAAAGAAGAATACCGATTTGAAGCTGAGAAACGAGGAGGGAATCATGAACGACAATGAGAGTT